GCGCAGGAGGAATTGGGACACTTCGACGACAGGCAGTTTCTCCTCCAAAAACTGCAGCTGCTAGTTTTCCGAGTGGCTGTCGAGGGGCATCAGGGCAGAACGTAAAGGCGAAGTAGTACGGCGGAAGGGCGTGTTGGTCATCGTGCCCACTCGTGAACTGGCTGTACAGGTCTACCAGGTCAGCCTCCAGCTGGCCCAGTTCACCAACATCATGATCACTCTGTCAGCCGGTGGTTTGGACTTGAAGGCCCAGGAAGCTGCGCTGCGCAAGTTGCCAGACATCATTATTGTCAACCCAGACGCGCGAGCCAGCAACCGAACAAGCAGCGAGCCGCTACGATGATGATGATCACGGTGCTTTGTATGCGCAGGTGAAAGTGAAAATGATGAGCAACACAATCAGCGCTCACACTAACGTCGTCTCACAATATATATATATATATATATATATATATATATGTATATATATATATATATATATATATATATATGTATATATGTGACGCTACGATGACTGGGCGACGTGGCCTGGCTCATACGCCATGTTTATTCCATCTCACTTCTTCCTCCTCTGTCTCTACTACTAACTCCTAACCATCGCTACCTTCTTACGTTACAGGATTCCCCCTCCCCCCGAAAGAAGTCGCGTCAGACCAACATCAATAAAAACTGAACATGCACGGCTTAGAACTGAACACTGTCAAAAAGAGAAGATCATTCCAAGTCCGAGGAAGTTTCCGTTAACACACTATAGCTTCACAGGAGAGAACAGCAATCCTGGGGTATCAAGTACAGCTCTGGAGGGCGAGGCTGGCTGTTGCGCTCTGGACAACATAAGCATGCTTTGAGCGTGAAATCAGATGGAAACACAGCCGGTATTCTTGCGATGAATGAACGTGGTGTGATGGCCTTGAAGCGTTGGCTGGATGATTTGCGCAGGTGTCGTGCTACTTGTCTTGATTGGAACCCATGCGTCGCCACCCGTTTGCGTGCTTGTTGACCGAGGCTAGTGCGGTGATTTATGCGTCCTTGCGGAATACAGGGTATGGTTTGGCGCCTTTCTCGACGTTGTATGTCGTGTTGCCTGAGTCTTGATCTCGACTGGTGAAAGTTTACTCGACGTCCCTTGGGAAAATATCCTGGATTCGATGCTTTCTTTGTTTCGAGCGAGAAATCTTGAATATGTTGTTGGCTTGGTTGACACGTTTGTAAATGGCTTTCCCTAAACCGCGTGTGTTCTTCCGAAGATGATTCCATTTGTCGTCGTCCTTGTTCGTATAGCCCTTGGAATCTCTGTTGTTCTTGGACTTGCTGGCATTGATGATGTTGCTGCGAAAAGACCTGAGGTGGCAGCCCTTTTTCACCATGACGCTGACTTTCTGGGCAATTGAATGTGGTGTCGAGTGGGCAGGTAGTAGCCTCTAGGCTGTTGTGCTGCATTTCGGGTAATGAAGGTAATGCTTCAGAGTTGATAGATACATCATCAGGGGCTTCTTCTTCGCTGTTCGCTGCGAGTGGTTCTTGCGCCTGAATCTGGATGGTAGGTTCAGGGCTTGCCTGAGTATTCTCCGAGCTCCGCAGCTCTATCCCAACCATTGTGAGCGTGCTAGATGTGAGGTGGGCGTTGTGAGCGACGAAAGAGCCAAGTGACGGAAAACCAGGAGGTAGCCCAATTGTGCTAGATGGAAAATAAGCTGATCCAATATGTGGAGACTGATTTTCACTTTTTCAGTCGTCATGGCATTGTTCGGCATTTTCCTCATGTGTCAGCTGGTCTACCATGAACAAGGCGTCCTTATGACACGAATAATGACCGTTAGGAGCCTTTGAAGAGCTGCGTCGTAGAAAACCAGGTGGTGGACCATGTATGCGAGACGAAGCATGAAAGGCATCAGTAGGGTGAGCGACGTCTCGTGTCGTATGTTGAAGCGATGACTTCGGAAATGCTGACTTTCGCGCAGAAGGGATGCGCGGTTGACGGTTAGGTTTTTCCCAATATACGCATGGCCTTCTGTAAGTAAACTCATGTGCCACTTCGTCTTGAGGCAGTTGTCGACTCGCGTTGGGCTTTCGAATGCTTGAGGACTGCTTAGGGAATTGACGATAGTGTGCGGTTTTCTCCAGATGGTCAGCAATAAGTAGGTCTTGTTCATGGTCGTTAAAACGAGTGAACATCTCTTCTTTGATCTTTTGCCATGACTCGTCGTTTTCAAAGACGTGGGTGAGGTGAAACTTAAATGCCTCACCGGAGATGTAGTCAGTGAAGTTGATGATCATCTCCAGTTCCGACCAAGATGCAGCGGTAGCGTGGAGCTCGAACAGGTCGAACCAGTCCTGTACAGGTCCATCGTCCGCTGCTCCGGTGTACTTGGGGATGGGAAGGTCAGTCGGTGATTCCGTCATGATGGTGGCAACGGTGTCCAGTGGCAATGCACTTCTGTGGTCCGCGTTTGGTCACTGCGTTTCGCTGAGGTCTTCGATAACGATGGCCAGTCGATGAAGTGGCTGCCAGGTCTTCATCCTGTCGACTTGTGTGACGCTACGATGACTGGGTTCTTACGTTACATATATATATATATATATATATATATATATATATATATATATATATATATATATATATATATTGGATGAACTTGCAGATAGCACATTTGAAAAGGAAATCGTATTTACTAACGCTTCGGCCGCGGCACGGCTTATTATATATATATATATATATATATATATATATATATATATATATATATATATATATATATATATATATATATATATATATATATATATATATTGGCAATCATGGTGGTTCAGTGGCCATAGCGTTGTTGCAAATAGTCAAGTAGATTCTCCGCTAGCGGTCACAACGTGGTTCATTTCAACGGTTCGCCCTAGAGTTAGGCCTTCGTCAGGATTTTGGGTACAGTTTGAACTTATTACGAGCTGGTCAATAGTCCCTCGTATACAACCTTAGGCACCAAGTATGCCAGTACAGGACCCTTGTTATTGAATAAGGAGAAAGAGTGTATACTCAAGGGCTTGTTTTCAGTGCTTTGACACAATATTAATGAAATATACCAGATAATAATGCCAAGGAAACTATAGAGGAGGTTATTAGACCAAATTGTAAGGTTACTGTGAAGAAAGAGAAGTAGCTGAAAAGATAACTTTCCGTGGGCAGGAACCGAACCTGCAACCCTCGAATAACGCGTTCGATATCTACCACTGAGCTACCAAGCCGGGTATCCCCTCAGCTACTTTATTGGGTATATATGTGAATTTAAACGGGGGAGTGTCAGTCAGCACCACCTCGCTAACTGCAGATTAAGAGGTAGTGAGGCATGTGTTGCCAATCACGCACAAGAAGAGTTTGCTTGTGTCGTGCTTTTGCATATCACGAAGATTCTTGTGAACTTCTCTGTTTCTATAGAAAGCCAGTGACAACAAAGAAAAAACGTTCTTTTGTTCTACCATTTCAGCCAGCTGCAAAAGAAGCATGCTGATTACACACGAAGTAATTGTCACATTTGCTCGCACTTGTCCTGTATATACATATGCGTTCATTTTGTGAGCCTTCCTGTTTGAATAGCGCTCTTGGAGCGTCGAGTTATGACAATTGACAGTCAGGCAACGTCTTGTGTAGGACCATTTCGTAAGCGCTTTCTAACTGAGGAGCGCGCTTCACGTATTGAGCTGACTGTGGTTATTTGCGTGGCTTTGGTATTTGTTGCTGTAGCATTTATACCTTCGCCTTTGTGGCAAAACAGTGCGCAAAAAACGCTCAATTAAACCAATGAAGGCTCGTTTCATTTTCGTGCTATACTGATTCCTAGTAAAAGGGATCAGGCACACTTTTTCTTTGCCAATTTCGTGGGAGAGTGGTTGCGGATGCTGGCGGCTGCAAATACCTACTGCACGCTGGTTGTGATGTCATAACATCTTCCACTGCAAAAGAAAGCCATACCGTTTAAAGCACTTTGTAAAGAATAGTGGCTTGACTGCAGCAACCACATGTAGGTGAATAAATCAATCTATATATATAGCGTTTAACGTCCCAAAACCACCATATGACTATGAGAGACGCCGTAGTAGAGGGCTCAGGAAATTTCAGCTACCTGGTGTTATTTAACGTGCACCCAAATATGAACCCACGGGCACACAGCATAATCTGTTTCATCAAAAAAGCAACCGGCGCAGCCGGGATTTGATTCCATGACTTGCGGTTCAGCAGCCGAGGACCTTAGCCAGAAGTCCACCGCGGTGAGGTTGAGGCTCTGCCAAACCTTTTCGTTTTCTGTTGCAGCATTTTTTTTACATACGGTTGTTGATACATTCCGTTTGTGGTTACATATAGCGTATTTTTTTCCGAAAATAAAGAAGTTTCTTTTATATTCACTGCAATATCAAAGCCAGCAGCTTATGAAGACTGCGTTGATATAAAATCGTGCCTGAAAAAAATTATCAACACAAGTGATTCACAAATAGAGAATTTTTGTTTATTATGCACTCTTGTCAATCAACCTGGGTTGATGCTTCCTAATTAGTGTATGTATGTGTATTACTTCCAATGGCTGCCGCTGTCTTTGCTATTATGAAAGCTATTTTGTTGGAGTTCAGTCTCAGTGCCACGATATAGTTATGAGGCCCGACGTTTTGCACCGCAATTCCCTTCATTTCGAATTCTTTTAAAAGCATGGAAACCTGTGTAGACGAGTCTCAAGCGTTTAATCCTATCAATATGTGTCACAGCAATGACGCCATACAGCTGCCTTCGGGTAAATAGTAGAGTGCAATATTGGGCTACGTACCTCCATGAGTGTCGCTACTTTTGTTTCAGGTGGTTGACTCTTGGTCAAACAAGAAGATTGGTATAGCAATTTTATTCTTTAAAAAATTAATTGGATGTCTACGGTGCCAAACTGGCAAGGGTAATTGAACTTTGTGATTCGGTCATCGAGTTTAATTAAAATCGAGCTTTGGAAACACACGTGTGGCTTAGCAAGGAAGAAATCACTTCTCGAGATACCACGCTATAAAGTTCTTGTGTAACGACACGGACTACGTAAACGAAAATTGCCCGCAAACAAAGCAATTCGCGTCATGGGTAACCGGAGTTCATCCGAAGATGAAGGCGGTTCTTGGCTGAGAACGCTAAAAAATAGCACTAGTACCAGCACTCAAGGTAAGCCTATCATTTTGTGACTCAAAAATTGTATTACTTGAGAAGACAATACTCGGGCCGACTGGGGGTTCCTGACAAAACAACTTCAGGTAAGGTGGACCACCTGACTTTGTCTCTTGGATTCATGGAGCACCTTTCAACGTCCCGCGGTATACACGAAGCACATTTGGGCGTGCATTTGGGATGCCGCAAACTATTACGCCCAAAGGTCATGCCTTCGAAAGTAAAAAAAAAAGTTGCAGTACAGAAAATTGTGAACAGAAGAAAGCACAGCGTTGAAAGTTGAAAGTTTATTTGTCCCAAAAAAAAAACTTACAGGAGCAGGAGCAGACATTAAAGGCCATACGTCCTGACAAAGGCCCTCTGCTCTTAAATACAGTATGTCACGCAGGCCACAGAGCATCTGCAAATCTATCAAGTATTTTGAATATAGTATTGCACAAAATTACAACAAACTATAGCATTGTTTTATTACGCAGTGTGAAATAAATACAAAATAAATTAATCACAAAGCAACCGTTCAGCTTACCTGAAAATACAACAGCACAACTTGAAAAAGAGCACATAAAAATACAAAATGAGATCCTCGTAGCATATTGCAAAATATTAAAAATCAAAGATATAGAAAGACAAATTATTAGACAAGATATCAGAAATCAATATTTAAGTAGCGTACTGATGATTATGATGCATTAGTATGGTTTTGATAATGGTGTTAAAAGGTGTGGAATTGTGATATAGAAGACCTTATAGACGATTTAACATTGTTGGTATTTGGTATTTAACGTGTCGTTTGTCATAATTAGTCCTAAGTGTTAGGGTTTTGTGGCATTGCTGACGCATGTGGTAATCAGTACTTCCAGGTGTGTTCTGAAGACATTTGGCTTATTATGTTTGACCCATTGCAAAGGTCTGAAGTAGTACAACTGCATGACCTTTAACATTTCATAATTTTCAAAGAATGTTTCAGTTTTCATGTCTCTGATAAAGCCGTGGTAATGCTCAAATGCTCGTAAGACTTTTTTCTGGAGAACAGGTAATTTCTTATAGTTTGTGTGGTAGATCCTCATACTAACATAGAGTACGTCATTTTTTAATAAAAAAGTGCACATTACATTTCTAGCTGTAACCATTTTGGCAAAACTGTGCCGAGCTTGCATAAGCATCCCAAAGTTCTGCTAAGTTCTATCGTTAAATTATCTTCATTTGTATTCCATGTGAAGCCTTCGGTAAACCATACGCCTAAAAACTTCTGGCTAATTACTTGCTCTATCTCACTGCCCTCAAATAAAACAGTCAGACTGTAGCTACATGGCTTATTAGGCGGGACAAATACTATGTATTTTCGTTTTCTAATGCCTAGTTGCATATTATTTAAGCTATGATAACCCAACAGCTAATATAGGGAGTCATTAAACTGGCGTTGAAGAGCTGGAATGGATGTACCACTGAAGAATATGTTACTGCCATCTGCATAGATTAATAACTTTGGTGATTGTAAGGTATCACAGGATATTTATATAAATTTTGAATAACAGAGGGCTAAGTATGGACCCTTGAGGTACTCCTCTTATTATTTTTGCGTAAGAAGATGTGCTGTTGTTTTTACAAACATATGGATAGCGGTTGGATGAATAGTATTTAAATATTTCTTGAATTTCACTACGTACGCTGTACTTGCTAAGTTTACATGTTAGTGCTTCGTGGAATACAAAATCAAATGCCTTCTTAAATTCTATGAACAAACCAAGTCAGTACAGTTTATGTTCACTATTTTTAATTAGTTCATGTTTAACATTTAGCGAAGCTGCTTCACAGGATTTACTTTTTTTAAAAACTGTATTGACCCTCATTTATCACATTACACTTGATAAATAACCTATACAAACGGATGTTTATTGGATTCTCAAAGAGTTTAGATAAGGAAGGACGGAGTCTGACCTGTAATTAGTTATTTGCCCTTTATCCCCCCCCCCCCTTTAAAGACAGAGCATACTCTCGCTACTTTTAGGTGGTCTGAAAAATGCTAGACAGGAACATTCTGTTTGTTATATGCACAATGACTGGAACTACAATATCAGCAAAGTATATTAATGGAGTTGCCATCGTCTCGCGGAAACCAGCTGCTACATTATTTTTATTCTCATTCATCAATTGTATGACTTCATATGATGTCACTGCAGATAAAGACACAGAGTTTCTAAGATTGTATTCTTTAGGATGATACGGGAAAATGTATTGCCATCGTTTTTGTATTCGGCACTATTCATGAAACACTCATTCATCTTATTTGATAATGTGCCTGTATTGGTCTGAAGACAAAGTTGTGGAGCGTGTCTCTTTTGCATTAAATTTTTTACCTCAATCAACACCTTCCTAGAAACATTTTTATTTTCGTAAACAGCTTTTCATAATACACGTATTTTGCTCGCTATAGCTCGGTAGTCAACCTGTTACGGTATTGTTTAAACTGTGACGACGCTTCCAAGTTCTTTGTCTGAACAAATGTGTGGTACAATTTATTTTTCGCCTTAATCATTTTGAGTAGTTTCCTGTCAATTCATGTGTAAGGTCTGGCAGTGCAGGCCATGGAAGCAAGTCTTCTCGGTCTCGAAAGGGCGCACTTCCCAAAAAGCCGATTCTCGGGAGACGATAATCTCGGCGTAAGCGCGCCCCTTCTGGCAAGAATACCGCGGTCAGTAGTGGCTTCTAGCAGCCCGCTAAATGGGCCCCGGACTGCGGAATGCCGGCGGGTGACGTGAGGACAGTGCATAGCCACCCATCCGTCAGGTTTAGAGTCCGCGGGACGGCGGTCGTGCTGGACAGCGTAGTCATCCCGCGGTAATGGAGGGGGCCCACAGCCGAACGGCGCCACCATTGTGTGCGTTCGCATGGTTCGCAGAACGTTGTGTGCAGGCCGGTTCGTTCGTCTCTCTCTTTCCGACCGAGCAGTCAAGTGCGGGAATAAGAGAGTGAGAGGAGGGGATGGCAACAAGTGTGTTGTCCGTCCAATAAACGGACTAAATTGCTTTGGTTGGCCGTGAGGAGAATCGGGAGGGGCAACTGAGGTATTAAATGCTGGCTTCCGAGTCCTCGTGGCGGTTCTGGTCGCAGCAAGGAGTGCTCTGCACTATCCGCTCGGCCGAGGCAGCATGCGACGGTTCCGACGATCAAGTCTTGTAAATATGTACATAAGTTTGTGTATATAAAATCGAGTTGTTGTCACGTTTGAGATGTGCTGGCTTCCATCTCTGAACAAGCAGCAGCAGCCACGAGAACACATGACGGACACCGAGAAGCAACCAACCTTCCACTCCCTTTTGTAGCAACAGCCGCTACGCAGCTGGGAGAGCTCTGCTCAAGGGAACAAAGGGAGTGGGTAGAAGGTTGAGTTTTACTGGCGCAGTCGGCAGGATCGAGACGACGACGACAAGGAGCGCTCTGCGCAACAAGGAGATCGGCGTGTTGCGGAGAACACGCAAGACCGAAAGCCAAGACATCGGCTGTTTTAACGAAGAGCCAAGCCACCAAGCTGAGGAGGCGGCAGTGTGGCAGCCATCGACCCGAGGAAGCCAGGGGTCCAGCTACGGTCATCCCAGTTCATAAGTCCGGCAACAACCCCGGCGACATCGAGCAACCAGCGCGCAGAAACTTCAAAAGTGGTGAGTCCTCTGGTGTTCTTACATCTCAGGGGTGCCGCTGCCTTTATTTTTGAGTTTTAAGGCGTCCTATGGACACGAGGTTTGCCCACTTGAATCCGGACAGGCGAGCGCAGGCCATGAGTCGTGAGTCGGGGGACGAGAGCGACGTGGAAAACCCGGGAGAGGGTAGTGCGCGGGAGAGCAAGAAAGATGACCGTTTCGGAAACCTCACGCCGGAGCGTAGACTGCAGGAATTGCAGTTGGAGATGGAGAGGCTATCGCAAATGATGGGCGGAAGCTCTCGGTGGAGTGGACCCGAGTTCGGTAGGCGGGATCCGTGTAGCGAGCTGCGACGCTACTCAAAATTCCTCACAGGGGTGTTACCCAAATTTCCAGCCGAGGCTGAAGCACCGGTGTGGTTTGTGTTCGTGGAAAGTGCCCTAGAAGCGTACGAAGTACCGGGGGAGTTTTGGGGACGTTTAGTTTTCCCGTTGGTAGCGGAGAGAGTCCCGTTTTTGTCCACGCGGCTAAGCCCAACAGAGCACAAAGATTACCAGGTAATCAAGCAAACGGTGCTGGACGAACTCAGACTTTCAGCCGGGGAATATCTAAAAAGATTTCTGGGGTCAGGCAAGCGTGCGAACGAGGGGGGAGACCTTCTTCGACACGTTTAGAGAGCTACCTCCACTTTTACCTTGAGGCAAGAGGGGTGTCGACATTCGAGGGCCTGGTCAAGCTTTTCGTGGCCGACCAATTAAAGAAAAATTTGTCGGAGGAGGTCTTGCGATATGTCACACTCCAAGAAGGTAGAGTGTGGGTGAGCACCCCAGAGATATCCGCGTTGCTGCGAACGTTTCAAGAAGCACAGGAGACGAACAGCGCCGCGAGGCAGGCGAAGCAAAGCGCGGCGGAGTCGAAAAGCGCGAGCAGGGCTAGATCCGGCGAAGAAACAATGAAGGGCCGCGGGGCTAGGAAGAACCGTATCGTGGAGGGGAAACCAAAGCCCAGGGCCTGCTACAGTTGCGGCAGTACAGGGCACCAGAAATGGAATTGCCCGCTGCGTCAGAAATAGCCGACGGAAGTGCTTCCGAACAGTAAAGAAGACAACTTAGCGGCGCGTGTTTCGATTGAAGGTCCCACAGCCGCACACAGTGATTTATTCCCAGTATCGCTCGACTGCAAAGACAAACATATAGGAGCAGTGTTGGACACAGGTGCGGAAATTACAGTAGTCCATGAGAGCGTGGTCCCGCCAGAGTTGGTGCAACCGCATGGGATGGTCAACCTGACTTCGGTGTTCGGGGAGAAAGTACAGGCCAAGCTCGCAGTTATTCCACTGACTATGTCGCGCGAGCGTGG